TCTCTCTCTCTCTGTTGGGGTCATATTGACTCGGTGTCTCTCGCTCTATTCCTGGGTCGGGTTGTCCTTTGGAGCCATGTTGCCCCTCTCTCTGTTCCCTCTTTGTTTTTCCCGAACGTTCAGACTTTCACCAGAAGTTTTCCTTCAGCCGACACTCCGACCTACAGTTTAATCACGTCATAGCGCTCTCCGCCTGCACTTCCTGTCTCGCTCTCCCACTCCTCGTTTTCCCAAAGCACTTAAAATAGTACGACAATGTGCCAAATCTGTCCTGAGGAAAACCAGCTGGAAACACGACGCCTCAGTCCACTGAGTCTGAGCCTCAGTCACTAAAGAGCTTAAATCTGATCGGCCAGCTTCAGCCTGCTGCTGCTTACTGATTTTATAACACATTAATATGATGGATTACCTGTGCAGGTGCACAGATACTGGTGCACAGATGCTGGTGCACAGATACTGGTGCACAGATACTGGTGCACAGATGCTGGTGCACATGTGTGTGCATGTTCCTTATTTTCTGGTCGTTTGGTAAATAAAAAAATATTTTTCTCTGTTTGCTGTTTAAGTTTCATGTTTTGATTTTGCTTTTTTGTTAATTTCATAAATAAATGTTTTCAGTGATTTTGAGCCTCGTAACTTCAGGATTACAGGACGTGTCCACACGACATTTTAAGTTCTGATAAAGCTGCGTCAGGCTTCACGCCTGCTCCAGTCGTTGGATTTTGTTTGGTGATCAATCAGCACCAGCATTGTTCTTGTGAAATACACAAAACTTATTGCACGAGAACATTTTTATTTCCAGCGGTGCAGATTTAAACCTGCGTGCCGTCGTCCTCTCTGCGACGGTTTGAAATAAAGACGCGACCCCGACGCCTCAGATTTCACTTTATTCTTCAACAACAAAGCTCCGTGCTGTGTGATCTCGTCTGTCTGTGGATGACACCAAGTGCAGCGCGACACACCGAGTATGTCGATCTAAATCTGGCAGCAGGCGCGATCGTGCCTCAGTTTACACGTTCAAAGAAGAAATAAATGTTTTGGTGTTAACATCAGCTTTTCACACCTGCAGAGGGGAAGACGGTGCCGGTGGAGAGCAAGAATGGAAAGAGGACAGAGGGAGGAGGCGGAGGAGATGCAGGTGGAGGCCCGAAGTACTCCGTGTTCACCTGGTTTGTGGTCCTGGGTCTGCTGGGCGTCTGGAGCTCTGTGGCCGTGGTCTACTTCGACATCGTGGACTACGACGCCGTGATCGGTGAGTTGGAGGGCGGGCGTGATAGCGTGGTGTAATTTAATGGAAGCAGACGCATTTTCCTGAATTTCCTGAAGCTTTTATTTTGAAGGGGTGCAGACTTTGAACAGCTAAAACCAGTGTGGGGTTGTTTTCTGGCAGAAGAGAGAAGTGGTTAACATGCATGACTTGTGGTTGTTTTGCAGAAGTAAAGACGTTCAGCATTTCATAAACCTCGTCTTAATCTTCCTCCTGAATGAAGATGACGTGCAGATTATCCTGATTATAAAAGTCAGCTCGGGTGCTCAGCGTGTGGGCCCCACAAAACATCTCACCCAGCAGCAGGCCGTGTTTAGTAACAGCACTGCTGGTCTTTAGTTACGGTCACATGCAGTGAGAGTGGGATTGTGTGATAATCTGCCTGTTCAAACATCGACCTGAGGCAGCGCCCGGAGGTTCAAACGGTCCAACTAAAGCGTGGCCGTTCTCCTGGCTGTCACGGTTTAATATCCACAAAGAAGAAGAAGAAGAAGTTCACATAAAATGAGATCATCTTTGTTTACACACCGTTTCTGATAAAACGACACAAAATTCCAAAACGTTTTGTCAAGTCGACGACGATGTCGTGATGTTTCTAAAGATGAAGCTCTCAGATCAGTTTCCCTGTGCGTGAAAGCCTCCTGTTTATCTCGATCAGATGCTTTGATAACAGACTTATGAAAGTCTGGATGTCAGATTGATAAACACCTTATCTTTTATCTTTCACTCTCCGCCTCTGCTGTGAGCTGCAGCACCACCTCGTCACTGTTGCTTCATAAGTTTTCACAAATTTGCTCCCAAACTATAAAAGATTATTTATGAGTTACATAATTTAACTGCGGTCGGTACAGACGGACTCTGGACCATCATTTATCCTGACGCAGTTACCTGACCAATCACAGTGATCAGGTTTATTCTCAGCTGTGGGCTCACCACAGTGGATCATGTCACCGTTACAGCTAAATGTTACAAGACGACGCTCCTCAGCAGTCTTTCTCTTCCTTCGGGTTCGTCTCCGACGTGAGAGCAGCGTGAGAACGTTTGTGGAGTCCCGCCGCGTGCAGAGGAGACGTGCATCTGTTGGCCTATTTGGTTTGGTTCTCAGCAGCGTTTGTGTCTGGATCTCGAGCGTTCACACACACCGAAACACAATGTCAGAGTAGTGGTTTTTGTACAGGAACCCGGTGACTTCTTCATGTGGTCACGGCGCCTTCCTCTCAGTCAGACGTGAACAAACACAGCGTTTCAAAAGTACAGTAACGTTTTGGCACAAATGTATCCCACACATGCGCGCTGTGATTGAACGATTTAAATGCGCCGTTAGCCGATTGTGGCGAGCTCTGAATGTCTGCAGCAGTGATGCTTTTTGGCGTGCGTACCAAAGAGCGAGACAAGCGGGAGGAAGTGATCTTGTGGCCTGGAAATACACATATATGTTTGCTGTGGTCTGTGGTTGGTTGGGTTATTAACAGCTTCCATCCTGGTATACTATGTTACTGTCAGAAACGTATCGAGGTACAAAAAGCTGCCGTGCGAGGCCCGTGGAGCTTTGGACGGACCCAAGACAAACGTCAACGAGCCAGAGGAAGTTTGCTCGCTAGACTTTTGGTCACATTTTACAATCACCACAGTTTCAAGATGACTGAATATGAAATACAGCCACCGTTTCCTCTTCTGTTTCTGAGCGACTGACTTCAGTCAGGGTCAGTAAAGTCGTTTTTGGTTTTGTTTCTGGGGCTCTGACTGTTTTTTAGTCACGCCAACTTTGCTGTTTGATCACGCAGTTCTGATCAGTTCATTGTTGAGTCACAATTTCTGCAAAGCAGTCCTGAGATATCAGTCCCACAATAAGACTGGAGGGTTAAGCTTCCAGGTTAAAGAACGCCGTCCATAAAATCTGCACAGGAAACGCTGAAACCAGGAGACGGCTGCCACCTGTCGTAACTCGCACAGCTGAAAGCAACAAGGAATGCGTGACAACGCCACAGCGGACTGATCTCAAAGAAGTCAAACTGATCTGTTTGACGTCTTTGTGGGAAAATGCTTTTTTTTCAGTGAAAGGTAACAACAGAAAACGGCGACTCTGCTGTCACATTACAAACTGATCCTCATCTCAAACTTCCCTCCGTCAGACTGATAAACGACGCTGTATCTGTAAACATCGTGACTCCATTGTGCACACACATCGGCCACAGCTGTGAGCAACTTCCTGTTCAGCTCTCAGTTACGAGGTTTCCTTGTATGGAAATGATAACCACAGTGAGACAGGCTAACGGAGACGTGAGCGCAGTTGGTTGACTCTGCTTCAGCAGTTTGGATCACGTCACAAGTCCTGTCAATGTTTCTGCTTTTTAGTTTTCTTCAGACAGATGCAGTGAAGGAGCTGCAGGTCGGACTCAAACCCGGGACGGCATATGGTCGCCCGCTCACCCACTGCGCTGAACCGATGTCTGATTCAGTGTTTCTGATACTAGAAATTAATATTAAATAAATTCTAACAACAGCTGATCAAGCTGTTGTTAGAATTTATTTATTGCTGTTGTTTAGCGCGACATCGGCTGGTTTCTTTCTGACACAAAGTGATAAACAAACACGAGAGAAAAGCCGATCAGCTGATCATTGATCAGCTGATCATTGATCAGTTTCATGATTGAAGTAGAAACAGGAGAGGGAGGGGAGAGGATGAGAGGAGAAGAGGCAGCTGCAGCGTAACGACAGAATAAATCCAGCTTTGTGTCTTTTTCATTGTAGCTGAAGTTCGGGACAAACTGTTCCTTTTCACCTCAACACGAAACGCGTGATATTAACTCTGAATACGAGAGGATTCAGTTTTAACCTTATGAACAAAATAAAGTTCACTATCAGTAACATCATAGCACCACCCAGCTGTATAGAAACCCCGTCATGCTAGCTAGTACGCAGTGTGGAAAAGTCAGCATAACGAAAATAAACTCCACCTAAACTTGGTTCATATCTGACCCAGATAGACTGCAGCCCATAACTTCTTACCTGAAGTTCAGTTCACTCGGGTCTCTCCTCCTGCCTCCCCTTTCCCTCCTCCACCTGCTGGCCTCCACCACTTGCTAATGTTACTGAATCTGTGGAAGCTCCGCGATGCCACCCCATGAAGTAACGAATAACGAGTCTGTCTAAATCCCAGTAACGACTAACGCGTTCCTGACTTTGGCATAATAACTACCGTGCTCGTTACCACAATAATAACGTAGTTACTGTAACCTTAGTCCCAACACTGCTGATGAGGGTGCATTAAATACATTAGAGGGTTAACGAGGCAACTGAGTTTGGGATTTTATGCTAGTGACCGACAGCCAGCTACAAAAAAACATATGTTTA